TCCCCAGGAAAGAGGGAGGGAAGACGACAGAATTATAAATAGGTGGCTTTAGTGACTGCATAATGCGCAGGTTGGAGGGACTTTCCGTCTTTAGTTCAGACTTGTGCATTGCACATCTTACTTGGACCAGTTCAACTTACAGAATTACCCAATCCCTTTTCTCCCTTCTCCAAGACAATACTCAGGAGACTGCCACTGTGAATCTGGTATGTTTGTAACAACTTCCAAGGTAGCCAGTGCCCAAGATCTGCGCTATAAAAGGATCCCTGTGTTCACCCACACTTAACAGTACATTCAGTTGCTTTTGGCTACATCTTCAACAAATAGTTCAACCTTCTTATCCTTGATACAGTCACTAGCCTCCCAAACTATGCTTCCTAATTACTTAATCAACACCAGAGACCCGGTTTTCCCTGATAAAAAAAGTTGCAAATTCTCTGATTAAAACCCCCAAACCTGTGATTAAAATAAAAGGCCACTATATGTATATGTACACCCACAGCCCCCTGCCTGCCCCAGCTGCCAGGGACCCAGGTCTCCCTGCCCCCCAGCAGCAGACGAGCCCTGGCTGCTGCCCACAGGAGGCAACAGCTGCTGCAGTGGAGCAGAGCATGGAGTCTGCCCCCACCCCACCCCCCGGGCTTGGGTAGGGGGTGCTCCCGTGCCCCCAGATCTGTGCGTGAGGCAGGCTGCCCGCTGCGACTCAGGCTCCCCACCCTGCTCCCCTCCCCTGGGGCCTCTGCAGCCCAGCAGGTGCAACCCAGTGCTGCAGGGCAGAGCAGGGCCAGGCAGGGAAGCTCCTTGCCACTGCAAGCTCTGCGCTGCCCTGGCAACACGTCCCCTGCCTGCACAGCGGCAGCGGAGGCAGCGGTGTGGGGTTGTGCCCTTTGCTGCTGCCACACGGGCAGGGGAAATGTCACCAGGGCAGCACGGAGCTCGCAGCATCAAGAAGCTTCTCCGTGCAGCCCTGCTCTGCCCTGCGGTGCTGGGTTGCACCCACGGGGCTGCACAGGCCCCTGGGGGAGGGCAGCAGGGCAGGAGCCCAAGCCCACAGTGAGAAGCCTGCCCTGTCCCCGGCCCGTGCACAGATCTGCGGGGCACAGGTCCCCCATCTCCTCGGGAGCGCGCACAGCGGTGGGGAGCCAGCCCACCCATGGCCCTGTCCCACTCGCCGCTGGGGCCCTGCGGCCACGCTTCCAGCCACACACCCCC